GAAAATCACGCACTGCTCTTGACTGAAAAACTTTACTAGCCCTAAATAATAATCTAAATTTATTTATAGGAATAAAGATGTCTGCTTGAAATAATGAAGAATATGGTAAACAAGTTGTTATAAAGAATGCATAATTAGCCTATATAACCATTGGTATTTCATTAAAAAAGAGCATGTTCTTGTTCTTTAGGAGAAGTGGTTTTATTTAATTTCAACATAAAGGCATGTTGTGTGTCACCGCAGTTAAATTGATGTCTATCATGATAAAACCTTAATATCAAACCTATATAATGAGTTTGGAAATTTTAGAGAAATGCTTAATAAATGCACTGTAACTAAACCCATTAGATTTTAGCAGACTAAATTTACTGTAGATTTAGTCGACTAAAACTAAAAACAATTCAGATGACTAAAATATGACTAAAACTAAATGGCATTTTAGTCAAAAGACTATGACTAAAGCTAAATCAAAATTTGCTGTCAAAATTAACACTGGAGTACAATTACTTTACCTTGAGAGACTGAACCACCAGCATCTTTCCTCCTACTTTGCTCTGACGGAACCCATGACTTGCGTGCAAATCCACCAGCTTTCAGAATCTCTTCAAGTCCATTTATTATCTCGTTCTGTCTCTCCTGGTCATTGAGGGATGTAAAGATATCATCCACATAACTGTCCTTCTCAAGGACTCTGTGCTCCTCTCTTAAATGAGCAAACTTTTTTAGTCTATACATGGAGGTTCTCCTATAGGTTACTGAAAGACTACCTCACCCATCACTGTTTGAGAACTACAGCAAACTTTGGTGGCTCAAAATGCACAGCATGTTTAGTTGTTGTTGTTTTTCTCATGGTGACTGTCCCTGCAATAAATCACCTTCCAGAAGGCACCTTGAAGGGAGAGTAATCAAGCTAGTCATGCTGTAAGATTGCGTCAAACTGAATTTCCAATAAAAATATATATATAACAAGACTTATATAACAAAAAAATTACTATATTGTATGAGGTCACAAGTGTACAGGCATAGATGAAGGGAGTGCGTTATAACATTTTTGGTATGGTATCAGTTTTATGGTGCATCTTGTAACCTTTTTCACACCTGCTATGTTTGCAGCCCTAAAAGGTAAACTGCTGGGAATTTTCGATTAGGCCAGCACTACGTGTTAAGTTTAAGCTAGATGGCAAATTTGAAGGTTAAATCATAGTCAAATGTGCCTGTTACCCAATTTGATTGATTGATGAATTGAATATCGATTAATTAAATTAAATTAACCAAATTAGCAAGTTAACTTGGCACATAAGTTACAGCATAGCATTATTGGTTATGTTCTGCACTGGTGTTGAGAGAGTTTTATACCTGTTTACTGTTAACTTAATAATCTCTTGAAATCGTCGCAACTCTACAAAATTCCATCCAAACTTCACAGTTAGGATGCTTAAACTTTGTTGATTGGCTCTAATGAAAACATACTATATATTCTATTAAATTATGTTAAATATATTACTTAATTTTAATTAATATTACATTGAGTATATTTTAAAATCAAAAAATCAAAACAAATCTGAACAATTCTATGCAGTTAGCATGTTTATTTTTTGAGCTGTAAAGAATCTTAATCTTGCAGCTACTATTCAAGGCATGTAAGCACCTGGTTACATGTTGCTGATGTTTTTTGCGGGTGTAATTTATTACCTTAAAGAAATACAGTTTCTATGTATGTGTTGTGTCTGCTATCTTGCATATAAACTATTTGAATTTTTGAACTCTAAATAAGTTATCATTCAGGTAGGATTAGGGTAAAGATGGTGGATTTTAAAATAACAGATGGTATAATTGTAATGTCACAGCTTCAAGATCGGCAGCACTTTGTGGAGAATGACGAAATGTACAGCCTACAGGATCTGATTGACACCTCCAGTGGGCATCTCAGCTGTTCCCTCACTGAAATTCACACAACTTTTGCCAAACATATTAAACTGGACTGTGAGGTAGGTTTGTGGGCATAGAGTACAGAAATGCAGATAATGAAGAAAAAAACATACACAAACCCTGAACTGATTTATCAAAATGAAAGACGTGTAAGTGATAAAGTCTTAAAGTAGAAAGGTTGTTTCTACAGTGTGTGTGTGTATATACTGTATATATATATACACAGTGGGTATAGAAAAGAATCACCCCTTTAAAATAATCACATTTTGTTGCTTTGCAGCCTGGAATGAAGCTGTATTTCAGTATTCCAGCTGTATTTACTCAGTGCAACTTGTAACATCCTAGTGAAAGAAATAACACCAACATGTCAGAAAAAATAAATAAATAAAAAAACAGAATCACTGAGTTGGGAAAAGGATCACCTCCCTCCTAAAAAATGACTTGTAAACTCAAATCACACACACAAAGCCATTTGACTTTCAACTGTGATCAGCTTGGTCATTTTGATTAGCTCAGCATGAAAAGAGCTTTCCTGGAGCTTTTCAGTCCTTGGTAGTGCAACTGAATCAAACAATCAACTATGGGTGGCAAGGCACTGTCAAAAGATCTCTGGGGTAAAGTTGTGTACAGGCACTAGTCAGGAGATGGATACAAAAAAAATTCAAAGGCTTTATCAATTCTTAGAAGCACAGTGAAATCTATTATTAAGAAGTGGAAGGTATTTGGTACAACACAGACCCTCCCTGGATCCAAACTGGATGAAAGAGCCAGGAGGAAACTGGTCAGAGAGGCTACCAAGAGGCCTACAGCAACTCTGAAGCAGTTGCAGGAATTTATGACAAAGAGTGGCCATTGTGTGCATGTGACAACAATATCACTAATTCTCCACAAATGTGGCTTATATGGGAGGGTTGCAATAAAAAAGCCACTCCTCAAGAAAGGCCATATGCAGTCATGACTGAGCTTTACCAAAACGCACTTTGATTCTGAGACCGCATGGAAAAGTTATGTTATGGTCAGAGGAGACTAAAATTTAATTATTTGGCCTCAACCCCAAACGATATGTCTGGCGGAAATCCAATACAGCTCACCATCCAAATAACACGATCCAATAACATTCTTACAGTACAGCATGGAGGTGGTAATCAGAGGCGTCATGCCCATTCAAAGTGAGGGGGCACGTGCTCCCTCAGATTTCTGAGCCAAGTGCATTTTGAATGCAGCTTCCAAAAGACAAAAATAGCCGAATAATATTTCTATATTTGATACAATCGCACCGGTGTGATTAGATCGTTCAGTGCGGCACAGCATCAGCTCCTAAATTCAAATCTGTGTTCGCTGGCTGGTGCTGAGCCAGAGACAGACGCGCTTTTACAGTGCTGCGCATTATAACCAATCGCACACGATTCTGTTGAGCTTATGAATGCAATGGCCAATCAGAGACGTTCAGGTAAGTCATCGCTGAAATGCGGTGTTTTGCTCTTATCAGAAACAACAAAGTGCAGATGTGCGTACGAATGTAAGATATTCATTTCACAGTGTAAACAGCTTCAGTGATTTTAATGGTTTTGTTCAGTGCGCGCGCTCGCTGACTGAATTCTGCTCTCTCTGCTTTCATCAGAAACAACAAAGTGCAGAGTGCGTACGAATGTAAGTAAGATATTCTTTTCACAGTGTAAACAGCTTAGGTGATTACAGAGTTTTTGAGAGTGATTGAGCTAGACTGAAGTCTGTTCTTTGATAACGTTCTTTGCTCTCTTTCTGTACAATGAAAGTGTTATAATTAGTAACTTACAATATTGTTATTAAATTCACATTAAATACAAAGTCAGTCATATTAAAAATATTTCATGGCATGACACCCATATCTAGTACTTAAGTAAAACGTCTGGTTTGTATGTGTAGTTAATAGATTACACTATTAGTCTACTTTGCCCATCACCATTGATCAAATAACATAATCTATAAAGGTGCAAAACGCATTTACACTTACACATATATGAGAATCGAGATATTTCCAGATATAGGCTAGTTAACACGTTTGGAAATATTTCGAATAAAAATAAAAAAATAAAATAAATAAAACATAAGCTTTTTAAACATTGTTAAATGTTTTTTTTTTAAGTTTTATAATGCTAGGACAAAACATTCTTACAATTTATTAATATTTGATATACATTGTCATAACATTAAAAGAAAACATTCGTAGAATATTAAAAATAAACATTCAAATAATGTTATATTTTGGGTGAAAAAGTTAGCAGAACATTGTAAGAAATGCTTTTGCAACCGTTGGGGCAAAATACAGAGAAGAGTGAGAAGGTTTACCTTCCAACATGACAATGACACAAAGCTCACAGCAAAACTGACTAGACAGTGGTTGAAGGAGAAAAAGGTGAATATCCTTATATGGCCAAGTCAGAGCCCAGACTTAAACCCCATTGCAAATCTGTGGAATGACTTGAAGACTGCATTCCACAAATGGTCACCATCAAATTTAACTGAACTTGAGCAGTTCTGCAAAGTCTTGATGTGCAAAGTTAGTAGAGACATATCCCAATTAAAGCTGTAATTAAAGCAAAGGTGGTTCAACAAAATACTGACGCAAAGGTACAATCCTTATTCCAACTCAGTGATTCTGGGTTTTTTTTTCAGTGCTTTCAAACGATTAATTGCATCCAAAATAAAAGTGTTTATTTACATAATATATGTATATGTACTGTGTATATTTATTATGTATATATAAATACACACACATGCATGTATATATTTCAGATAAATATGTTATTTTTATATATTAAATGTATTTATTTATAATATAAATTATATGAATAGAAATATTGACATGTAAATATTTTCAAAATATATACTGTATGTGTATTTATATATACATAATAAATATACACAGAACACACAC